ACACACACATTCCTAAATATCTCATGTCTTTTCTGAGTCTGATTAACAATTCTTCCAAGTTCGATAATAGAACAGCAACAAAATTGGCATCTAGGACACAGGCATGACGGCAAGGACTGGTGTACTTTTTTTGAATTTTGTAGAAGGGGTTTTAAACATGTCAGAGGCAGGAGGCTCCTTTTGCCTCCTCTCCATGGGGTGACAAGTTCTAGGTCTGAACCAGCGGAGAGCTCCATTTGGAATAGACCCACTGAATCAACAGGATTTATGTAAACAGATATTATAAAATTACATTTTATTAGAAGTGACTTTGGGTGCAATCAGATGGGGATTTGACCTGCAGATTCTTCTAATTTGGGGATGGACTGGTTCACTTTCTCTAAGACCTAACAATCAATCAAATTTAAATGTTTGTGCTGGAATTTCCAAGCTGACACAGAACAAGTGCTTCTTGATGAAGCTGCATCTCTCTTCCTTAGATTACAGATGTTTACGAACAGATAATGCAACAGGCAATGAGCCTAACACAAAGGGATACATTCCTGAATGAAGTCATTGACTGATATTACAGTGGTACTACGCTATTCATCCCTGATGTCATGCATACACATGCCCTGTACTCTGGATTTCTATCCACTGGCATAAATATCTGCACTTGGAAAGTGTCCATGGAAGCAGCTACTGATGCGTTTTCTTCCAGGTCATCTAAACCTCCAGTTAGACAAATTACATGAACATCTGATGGATCAACAGTCTCAAGTGATGGAGCTGGCAGCACAATTCTACTGATCCCTTCTCCATATATAGTGGAGAATAACTGGATAGTGCTCCAAGTTAAATAAGAAATATGTCTCCAAATTATGTTCTGTGCTGTCCTGATATTAAAAAGGAAATAAATTTCTATAGTTACAGTTTCATAGCAAGTTTATGTGAGACAAAGTGGCACTCTTTTTTTATTGTGACACTGAAAATCAGGAAGATAGTTTATTCCAAGTAGAAGAATTGTGATTTTGAAAAAGAAGCAAAATAGTTTATTTTGTATAAATATTCTTAATATAGTGGTACCTCGACTTACGACCATAATCCATTCCAGAAGATGCACGTAAATCAAAATGGTCGTAAATGGAATGGGATTAAGTAATGGGAATGTGATTAATCCATTCCAGCCAAAAAAAAAAACCCTCAAAAAAATTGCAAGCCCCACACTGGGACTGAAAAAACCCCAAAAAACAAACAACAAACCACAGAAACATACCCCCCCCCAGCCCTGCAAAACCTACCCAGAAGTTTTTAAAAAGCGAAAACCAGCACCTTACCTTTCCAGGCAGTACCAAGCCTCCTCCGATGGCCTCCACGGGCTGATGCCACCGCTGCTGCTGGTGCTCAATGCCGCCTCCAGCTCTGGAACTGGCACCAGCGGCTGTTCGCCGGGGTGGTCACATTGGTCCTCGGGGCTCCTCGCAGCTCTCTGCAGGCTAATGGTGGGAAAATCAAATGTACTGATGGCCCACGGAGTGCGGTGAGGATCATCGAGGACCGATGCAGCCACCCCGGTGAACAGCCGCTGGTGCCAGTTCTGGAGCTGGAGGCGGCATCGGGCACCAGCTGTGGCATCGGCCTGCAAAGGGCAGTGAGGAGCCCAGTGCTGGGAGGTGGAGCCTGGCCAGGATGCTCTGGCCACTCGCCTCCCAATGGGCTCCAATGAGGCCGGGTGAACAGCCGCTGGTAAGCCGGGAGGCTGAGCCTGGCCGGGATGCTCCATGAGGCCAGCAGTGACCCTGGCTTTGCTGGAGTCGGGAGGCGAGCAGCCGGAGCATCCCAGCCAGTCTCAGCCACCACCGCTTCCCTTTCCCTAACTGTTGGGGCAAAACTGCTACAAAGAAACATCCTCACCACCAACGATTTGAATTTCCTGTCTTCTCCCCCTGCCTTTTCCTGGTTGCAAGTCAAAGCTCCGGCCGCAAGTCGAAGCAAAATTTTGCGGCCGGAGCTGGTCGCAACTCGAAATGGTCGCAAGGAGGAGCGTTTGTAAGTCGAGGCACTACTGTACATATTTTCATTTTACAATTACAGTGGTGCCTCGACTTACGAGCCTCCTTACTTACGACCAATTGGACTTACAAACAGCTCTGGTTGCAAAATTTTGCTTCTACTTGCTACCGGAGTTTCGACTTACAAACAGAAAAAGGCAGGAAATTCAAATTGCTAAGTGTAGGTGGCAAAAGAGGCTGCTTCTTTGTAGCTCTTTCGCCCCAGCAGTTAGTGTGTGTGCAATCCGAGAAGGCTGGTTGCTAAGGTCTGGTGCTGCTTTGTGCTTTTTAAAAATTGTTCTTGGTATTTTTGCAGCATGGTTTTCGGCTGGGGGGCCTATGTTTCTGTGCTGTGATGGGTCTTCGGTGGGTTGTTTGCTTTATTTCCCCCCCATTTCCGATGGGGGGGTTGGTTGCTTTTCGGAGTGTTTTTCCCCATTTCTGATGGGTTTTGGGGGTTTGTTTGGTTTTTGGTTCCCCCCCATTTCCGATGGGTCTTGGGGGGTTTAGTTGCTTTTGGGTCCCCCCCCCATTTTTGATGTCTCTTACATGCTTCTGTTGCTTTTTGCTTTGTTCTCTTTGCATTTGTGATCTGCTCCCTTTGATTTCTGTGCATTTCCGACCTTGTCCCTTCGTTCTCTGTGCATGTCCAATCTGCTCCATTTGCTTTCTGTGCTTTTGCAATGGGCCCTGCATGCTTCCCTTGCTTTTTCTTTTGCTTTCTGTGCATTTCCAAACTTGTCCCTTCGTTCTCCGTGCATTTCCAATCAGCTCCATTTGTCTTCTGTGCTTCTGCAATGGGCCCTGCATGCTTCCCTTGCATTCCCCCCCACTTCAGCCACAAGGGATTAATTGTGTTTCCAATGAGTCTTGCAGTGATTTGTTTTGGTGATTTTTTTTCCTTTGGCTGGAACAGATTAATCGCGTTCCAATACATTTCAATGGGAAACGGTGCTTCGACTTACGACCATTTCAAGTTACAACCATCATTCCAGAATGGATTATGGTCATAAGTCGAGGCACCACTGTAGTGTGACAACTAGACATCAAGCAGAAAAGGAATGATATTTAGAGACCATGATAGATACCATGGCTGAAATCCTGTTCCTTAGCATAGTAAGTTGCAAGTATGCTCACTGAATTTGGTGAGTTTAGCTCTTCTGTAAGTTCCACTGATTCAATGAGCTCACTCTAGTTATGATTTACTACATTAAGCAAAAGGATTTCAGTCTATGAGTCTCAGAAAAATGTGTGGAAGAATTTTTGTTAAAATTATCTGTATGAACTTCATGTAGCACTCGTTCTGCTGAAGGTTCCTGGGATATTAGCATTTGTTTGTATCATTCACTGAAAATAGTCCAGCATATCAAAATGTTCAATTTGTCATTTAGATGGAATATTGGTTGGGAAAGGACTGTAGAAACTATAGTCTACACCTGGTTAAGCTTAGGCGCCACTTAATGCACACACACACATAAGATTATTGGTCAGATTTGTAGCCATCACTAAGGAACTAAGCACAATAAACATGCCAAAGAGGAAAGAGCCCTCAAGCCAGAAGAACCTGACTACCGTATTTGCTGGCGTATAAGACTACTTTTTGGCCCAAAAAACATTCCTCCAAGTGGAGGGGTCATCTTATACGCTGGGTGCACTTCAGTTGGGCCAGGAAGGAGCCGCCACCGCGTTGAGTGAGTGATGTGGAGCCACGCCGGCCAGGGAGGAAGGCAGGCGGGCAGGCAGGCGGAGGGAGGGAAGCAGAGCCGGCCATGCCTGAGTGGTCAGAGCCCGCCGCCCCGCCCCGCACCGCTGAGGCAGCTGCCCGCTCGCCTGCCCACCGGCGGAGAGCTGCTTCCCCTCCTCCTCCGCTGCCAGCCCGGCCACTTCCCCTCCTCCTCGCCCTCCTCCCCGCCGGCCATCAACTTCCAGGGCGGGCCCAGGCAGAGCCCGGGGCAGCCGGCGCCGGAGCAGAGCTGTCCACTCTATATTTTGAGTGGAAATGTTGGGGGGGAGTTGTCTTATATGCCCAGTCGTCTTGTACACCAGCAAATACGGTAGCTAAAAATAAGGAGCTTCATAGAGCACACATAAGATTGCCTTTAAGACTGTATTAGGTAAAATTTAGTGTGAAATATGCAGTAATAGTTTGATCTTAAGGGAGTAGAACTCTAATACCTCAGAAATATCCGGCAGTTGTGTTTTATCCACTATTTAAAAAGACAAATATGTATATATACTGGTACAGAAGTAGATACATCCTACCATTAAAATAAAAAAACTGATGTGCTAATAAAGTACCAGTTAAGATCAAGTTACAAGGCTGCAAACCTAAATGCACATGCAATCATGCACAAGCTTTTACTGTGAAATATATTTTAAAACAGTGAATAAAGTGTATTGTAGCTGTTACCAGAGTTTGTGGCAAAGAAGTGGCTGAGACTAATATGATTTCATGACAAATGGAAATCTCTTCCTCTTTTTGTATGACCAGTGTTCAGAAGTGATACAAACAAGGCATGATGTTAACAATACACAGGACAGGTGTTTCCAAGTATGTCAGTGAATCTGAATACTCAGGGTTTGATTTGTGCTGCTGTTAGGACAACTACAACTATACTACATTGCATCAAGCAAAACGTTATGTGGAAAAAGAATTTCATTATTGTTGCTTACCAATACAACAATATCTCGCATGTTTATTAAAAGGCTCATGGGAAAGTAGTGGTAATTGTATAAAAGATTTTTAAACTGGTTTCGATCAAGATTTTTTTTTAATTACAGTTTCTTTGAAGGAATGATTGATGGAGTTTGCCAGGAATTGCCTAGAAAAAAACACAGTTTTCTTTAAAGACCAAAACCAAGGAAGGAATTCATTGAAGGAGGCAATTGTGGTACTTAGAAACCTATACAACTTTATAATTCAGGAACCAATATAATATGAGATACTGAAGCTAATTCTAGTATTTTGCTGAGGACAATTTAGGTTAAGCCAATTTTTGAAATAAGCAACCAAAGCTAAGAATTATTTTTAAATTTATTATCAAGGTTAGTAATGGTTCATACAATCATTTTCTCTAGTTGTCTATTAATGAGTAAAAACCTGTCAGTGATACATCCCACACATATCTCAGGGGAAAATGTCATTCAGATGTTGTTACCAGATTTATTTCCAGTTCTCAATATCGGATATGCCTGGAAATACTTGAAGGCCATGAGCACAATTCATTCAAGCATAAATACAGCTCTACATGTACATTAGTCCTTCCCTCTCTTCTTCTTGCCTTCCTTTCTGATTGGAATGTGTGCTCTGGTCAAGCATATCTGTGGGTCAAGGCCATGCTGAGAAACAAGACAGCTAAATAAGTATATAGGACATATGCTGGGGAATGCCTCCCATTGAAAATAATGGCTGGCCTGCTTTTGTCTACATGTGCCTGGCCGGGGGGCGGGGACTGGCTCCCTTAAACTACCTTTCAATCCCTTCCCTAAAACTGAGCACTAACATTTTAGGCACTACCACTGGCCTCTTACTGACTTAGATCTAAGCATCACTTTCTTTAATATGATTAGACCTAAACATTCTATCAGTTCAGTTCACTATATCTCCCCCCCCCCAAATATTGACTTAAAATCGTTTTTCTATATAGCAGAAAGCAAAACATTTACCTGATACCCTGTGTATGAAAGAAATGTGCTGGTAACGAGATATTTCTTCACAAATTCCAGTGGGATCTGCAGGCTGACCATTTCCATGCTGCCTTTCTGAATAGAACCTTTGTTTAGACTGTGCATTGATCAAAGTGGTGACTTGGTCTTTGAGACTGACATTGTCCTTATGGAGCCGGTGTGCTTCAAATTTCAATACCTCTCTTTCATTTTCTGCATTACGCATTCTATTTTCCATCAATAAGAGCTCCTCCCTCAGTTGTCTTATTTTATTTTTGCATTCTAAAGCATCTTGTTTATATTCATGGGCCTGCTGTTTAAGAACCCAATTGTTCTCTGTGCCACCTGTTATAACTCCTGTCAGTCTCTCACACTCTCTTTCCATGTTGGACAGCTTAGTTTTCAAAACTCTGATTTCTACTTTTGCACTGTTACATTCAGTTAGAAGCTTTTCCCTGGCATGAGCTTTATCATGCTGGGCATCTCCGAGTTCCTTCTGCAAGACTTCTTTATCCTTGAGTGCTTCCTGCAATGTCTCACCAAGCTTCCTTTTTTCTTCATCTAGCGATTGCATCCTCATAAGAAGAGCCTCCCGATCAGATACTTCTGTCTTCTCCTTTTCTTTCAGTCTTTGTATTTCCTTCTGTTTTTCTTCAAGCTCATTTCCCAAGAAACTGTTTTTGTCTGTAACCTGACATATTTTCTCTCCCAGTGCCTTATTTTCTTCATGAATAATTGACACTTGTTTTTCCATAGATGCTAAGGCCACAATAAGGTCATTTTTTTCTTTAGTGAAAAAAGCCAGATTTTCCTGGGCTTGTTGGTCTTTCTTCTGAAAATCACTTATTTCTTGCATCATGTGTTGATTCCGAGCAGAAAGATGGTCCTGTTTTTCTTCCAGACTTGCCTTTTGCTGTTGAAGTTCCTTGAATTTCTTCATTAATCTTTTGACTTCTTTAAGGCATTCTTTGCAGTCTCCCTCTGACTTAACAAGTCTTCCTTGAATGTTATTCTTTTCATCTTGTAAATCCTTAATCTGCTTCTGATAGTTTGAGTTTTGCTCTGTCAAGGAATGTATAATGTCTGTTAGAGGTTTCAACTGGTTCTTGAGATCTGTGTTTTCACGTTCAAAGTTCACCACATTTTTCTGAATATGTTCAGACTCTCTCACTGACAATTGTAATAATCTCATTTTTTTAGCATAGTCACCAGATACAACATTTGCATCATAAAATTCCAGATCTTCACAGTTTTGAAATTCTTGGTTTAGGCTAAACACCTCCTTTTGTTTATCGGTTTGTCTGTCTTCTGTGTGTTTTTGAATCAGAAATTGATCTTTTGTCAATTCGGACAAGACCTTGAACTGCATCTTATCAACAAAACTGTCTTCCATGAGAAGTTCTGAATTACTGCATTTCCCAAATGACATTTGTGCTGCATTTTGGTTCTTTTCCAGTTCTGAAATGCTCTTGAATGTAAAATCCTCATTTGACACATCTATTGCTTTTTCTGTTAGATCCTGTTCTGACAGATAACCAGAATCATTGTCTTTGCCACATACAAAATTAGGAGAGCTTGGAAGTTCAGAAGTATATGACAGTTCATGCCTATCAGTTTTCTTCCTTTTGTCTCTCAGGTTTTTGGAAGAAAAGCTCACACTCTCTGTCAAGTGCTCGTCACCCTCATCCTCAGCCTTATTGAGTATTTTAGGTGATTCGTAACTTTGGATCTCCCTCAGGGAAGTCCTTTCTTGTGTTTCCATACCAACAAAAAATGGAGGAGAAAGGTTCTTGGCAGACTTCAATTCGTGGTCATTATTTACAGCCAAAATAGTTTTATTTCTATATATTTGGGCATGTTTTTCCAACTTTCCAACTGTTTTATATTTTAGCAAATGCTCATGTGAAATATCTTCACCTGCAGTCATGTTTCTACATATAGCATTGAAATTGGTTTCTGGACAGTGACTGGTACCAGACCTGTTATGAATATGAACTTGCTTCTTAAAATTTGATGCTTCTAGATACTCTCCTGGCTGAGAAAAAGAAAGAAAGAAGAGATAATAGTCATATTAAAGGCATTCACTATTTAACAAAAGAGATCAGCAGTACTTCAGCACCACTAATAAATTCCATAGGACACCAGTCTTTTCAAAGTTTATATAGATTTCGCTTCCAAGAAAAAAATATGCACGGGGTGGTGGTGGAATCACTGCCTCCAAATAGTTGTACTATCTCTCCTTGTAATTGTTTAAACATAATTAGAAGGTACATGTTTTTCAATGCCTTTTATCGCCTAATCTCTGCCTTGCACTAATGTTCCAGACAAGGTTTGTTTTAATAGGCTTAACTGCCTTTTCCTAGTAGAGATGGAAAGTAACTGAAATGATTGAGATACTATGTGTATTATTTTATTACCCATATTCAGGACCAAATTACCTAACATTTCTTCAGTCATATGTATTTTTATTGGTTTTCTCTTAAAACCAATGGTGGTTTTAAACATACCATTGTGGTATGTTTTTCTTCACTTTTTAAAAATCCAAAGTAATGTAAACTCCCCCCCCCCTCGATTTATGTATATTATGGAAAATATAGGAAAGGCAAACACATTAGTGAAGTCCAGAACCATTCTTTTTGACACAAAGATGGCGACTGCAGTGGCCGAAACCAGGTTTCCAGTATGCACTCTAACTGGAACTACCTGTTGGATTCTGGTCTGCCTATTTCTGCCCTCTCATTACAGCTACTCTGATGTTCTAGATTTGTGTTTAATTTTTTTCTCTCAACTCTTCTTGGGAAAAATTGTCTTAATTCATTCTGACATATTCCTTTTACCATCTTTAATTAAAATTACACTATTCCTTTGAGAGAGCAGATTATATGGGCTTCTCATGCAGTACTCCATCCAAGTCCCCAGTGAGACTGCCACCTGCTTAGATCTGATAAGTAAACAGCAACACACACATTCACACCATCGTTAGGACCATAACTACTGTAAAATAGTTTTCTGCAACTGCATGTGAACTGATTTGAAAGACACAATAGGAAGCCACAACTGTG